CGACCACAGCCCCTCTGTCATGTTGCATGGAAAAAATCATCCGTTTCTAGATTTAGTCCTTTTCAGACCTTAAGGTCAGTGATTCAAGTGGACATTAAACTAATACAGCAAGACAACGTTGTTACAATTGTCTGGTGGCTCTTCTGCAAACCCATTGGTCGTCTCAAATTCTCATACTTCATTTCGAACTGCTTTGCAGCCAGCTTTGTTCTCTCGGTGAACTCGGGGGGTTTACCGGCATGCCTACTTACGCATCTGTAAAAGATAGTGCGTGACATCCTCTGCACCTCTGTAATTCCGGAGGCTGACCTGGTCCTGCATGCTGACACGGCTGAAGGGGCTGCAGGTGCCCCAGCCCCGAGGCCAGGTTCCCCGTGCTGGCTGCTGTTATTTAGGAGCTCCAGCTGCTGTGAAGGAAAGGCTTGTCAGGGCCATATCTCAGCAAGCAGCACTTGCCACAGACCTTGGTTCAGGCTGGGAAAAGCATTCCGCATTTTTGATGCAATGTTTCCTAATGTTTCACCCAACAACCCATAAATTTCACAAGAACAAGTCTATAAAGGGTTTGTTTGAGGAGAAAAGGACAGATTGCTATAGGCTGTAACTGCAGAGAGGCCTTTAAAGAAGCTCTTGACAAACAGCAAAACAAGTACCGTACATGCACAGGACCGCTCCCAGGAGCAGAGCAGGTCCAGCACACGGGGGAGCGGATCCTGCCCTGCCTGCGAGCCCTGTCCTGCTGTGCCCTGCCCGGGGCAGGCAGTGGCGCAGAATGGCACGGGCGCTGGGTCAGTACTCAGAGGGCGTGCTGGCACAATCAAAGAGAGGACAGTTCCTACCCCACCCGACCAGCTAGATTTAAATTTATCTAAACAATTATTTTTAAAAGCAAGAAGAAAGAGCTTTTCGTACTTGAATGATAGCATTGCTCACTGACCGTGCTCCATGAACTCAGCTCGTTGTTGCCACCAAAGCAGTTTCTGCACCTTTCCTGTGTTCAGTTCCTATGGATTTATACTAAATGCAATTCAGACTTGTAACAGTTGGTGAGACAATCAGCACATACTAAAGTCCTACTCTGACAGTGCAATCAATTAAATATCAATTAATCAGTTAATCAGTACAGAAGATACACATAACAATGACAGCATCAGCTAGTTTATAACCCGGAGTGTTTCATGCCATTTGCACATGTGTGGCTTGACGTGTACAACATTTTCGCAAGGGAGTTTCCGACAATGGATTTCCAGTTAGAGACACTGTGAATGGTTTTGCACACATACTCATCAAAAGAGCTAAATAATTCCCTTCCTCCCTTTCACTTGGGTGTGACTCCTGCCATGGTCATCTTCAGCTGACATCCTTGCAATGGAAACTCAGTAATGCTCATGGAAAGCACATTTTAAACTCAAATAATCAAATATCCTTATAACTGTATAACTGATCATCAGTGCAAAGCTGACATTCAGATGCGTAATTACAGTGCTGTCCTTGTTACCTGCATCATGTGGGAGGGAGGAGGACAAGCCATGTCCTGCGTAGCTCACCACCCCAGCAGGAATTCCCACTGCCAGCCTCAGGCCTTCTCATCTGCAGAACCAAGGCTTTTATCAACGCAGAAAAATCACAGATAATTTAGAGAAACAAAACTGTGACCCCTGGCACCTGGCATCGGCTGCTGTGTGGAACAGCTCCTCACATCGATATGTGGCAGTACTGGTGCTTCCTTCCTGATGGGTTGTGTGGACACTTCTATTTCTAGAGCATTTTTTTGCTGTTTCCTTCTTTCTTCTCTGGCCCATGACTCTTCACACTGGAAAGTCTGCCCATCTGTGTCCTTTCTGCCCTGTGAGTCCCTGAACGCTTCTCATGATAATGCAAGGACAGGTGGCCCTGGAGACCTTTTCACCTCATGCATGTCCTGCCTGTGCCTTAACCTGATTTGGATGTGTCTGTGATGTGAGTGATACACCTACCCAGATCCTGAGACCTCCAGAAGCCACTGCTCGTTTCCATAGACCCCCATAAATGGATAACTGGCTCTTTTAATCTTGTTACTAAATTGTAATAGAATTATCCCTCTAATCCTTTGGAGCAAGAGCAGAACTCAGCCACCAATATAAAATTAAAAAAAAAAAAAAAAAACCTACAGTAATCATAGATTTTAAAAGTATTTATTTTGTGCTGCTCTCAGATAGGCTGTATATAAAATTTTATTTCAGAGGAATAATGCCATGTAGTGCACTTTGTGGCTGCACTGTGATTAAGTCCTTTTTAATCTGCTGTGCATGTGGAGGTGCAGCGCTTTCCCAGCACAGCTCCCTCCATGCCAGACTCTCTATTAATGGGGTTACTGGCTTATCGGAAAGAGGCAGAATTACCCAGCTACGGGAGGCTTTTACTCTGATCTGCTTAGAAACCCAGGCCATCTCAGGGCAGGGGATGCTCGGGGACAGTAAGCCTGTTTCTTCCTCGGGACCATTTGCCCCTCACAGCTCTGTTTTCTTACAAGGAACTTTCTAGCTGCTAAATCTGTTCGGCGTGCTCAGTTCCTGCTGCTGCTTTGTCTGTCTGTCTGTCTGCCTCTCTGCGGGTAACAACTGGCTCCTGCCAGGCAGGGCAGGTCCTGCTCGCCTCCCTCCGCTGCCCAGGAGTCCCAGACGGAGCCAGCGGGCAGGTCACAAAGTGCCTGGTGGCTGAGGTAACCTCACGCAGTCATGGTGGGCACAGCAAAGGCACGTTTGCCAGAAGAAATGACTGTCAATAGGATGGGGAGGTACAGTTGGCTTCAGAGCCTGGGGTACCTGGTGCTGTCAGCTAAGGACAGCTGGTGCTGCTCTGGGGCAGTGCACAGAGCCATCCTCCCTGTAACCCCGCTGTAACGTTCTCCCCTTACCAGCATTTCAGTAACAGGCCCTGTTCATTCCCTTTCCAACAGCTCCCACATCCAACACTGCGGGATGGCGGTACAGTGGGACCGGGGGAGGCTGCAATCAGAACAAGCAGAGCTCCTGTGTACGGGAGGGTCTGGACCTCATGGGGCCACAAAGGAAGGAGCTGGCTGCTGCAAGGCGTCCCCTGCAAGCAGACTGGGTCACCTACAGAAGCCCATCCCACCCAGGCGGGCAGATCAGCTCACTGAGGGGCTTTTGCAATGTTAAGGAACAGGTTGGAAACGCCAGCTCGCAGGACCTCCCCTTCCTGCTGCTCTGTGCCCAGAACACGAAGCGAGGCACGGAGCGAGATGGGAGTGGGTTAGGGATGTGCTAGCGTCTTGTCACAAAGCATTTGCTGACCTTTCTGTAAATATTTCTCAGAAAAGGCTAAATGCCCGGGTCAGTTCAGAGGGTGCTGTGCTGTGATCAGCACTTTGCCTGGGGCACAGCCACGGCTCCCGTTGACAAATAGCAATTGACCTGAGCGACTGCGGGCGCTCGCGGCCGCGCGGCGAGTGGGCAGCAGCCCGCAGCAAGCTGCAGATCACAAACGCCAGTGTGTGCAGTTCTTCTCCCAGGGTTTGCTTCTAACAGCAATAACTTTGTGCAGCGTGCAGATGATGTTTTAGGGAAACTAATGTGATTTCGTCCTTAACAAAGCGAATGCTGTAGAACACAAGACATTTATGAAATGCCACTTCTCACCTGATGTCTTTGCCTGGATTTTCTAACCCTAAATTAAAAAGGCCATATCCATTCTCATTGCAAACTCAAGATATGAAGTGAAAAGAGTAATTTCATGAAAGTTCATGTCATGACTTGAAGCAACATCAACGTTGCATGAGGACAAAAAAGGAGTTTTGCAGCAATGATTTTAAATGTAAAGTGTATTGCTTCTTGTTTCATCACTTGATGGCAGAAACTACTACTCAGAAAGTAAAGGCTATATATTGGTGTGGTGAAGTCTCACAGACCAGACCCCTGCAAATACTGTGCTGCCAAGTACAGACACCTGCAGGAACACCCCACAAGCACAGGCTATCAGAATGCTGCTATGCCTGAGGTAGGCGTGGTGCTTTGTCAATTCAGTTATGCCACAAAAAAATCTGCACTGGTTTCTTATCTCGATTTCACCCTGGGCTGGCTTGCATTGATGAAAATGAAACTGATGTGATAGAGCCAGTTAAAAAATCTTCACAACAGTGAGCACAAAAGGCTGCACTGGACAGTGCCAGCCTGCACAGGGCAGTCCTGGGCGCAGTGCCTGCTGCCCTGGCCGTGTTTCTAAGCTGGCACCTTGGGGGAGGGAAGCGAGAGGAGCACTCACAGTGCAGCAAGCCTTCGGCATGCTTTCCTTTTCATGCCAAGTACCTGGTATTACAGTTCTCATCCTGAGCTACCTGCTGTTCCCACCCTGGCCCAAATGCTGTCTGTGACTGTGAATGACTGCTCCCTGCTTGCGCTCACCTCCAGCACAATTACTGCCTGCTAACAGCCCTCCTTGTGCTTCCCAGAAATGTGGACAGAGAATGGGAATTTGCTAAAGGTGGTGTCAGAAGTTCAACACCACCACAGCATCCAAAAAGCCTAAGAAATGCTCAGGAGGTTGGCGTGAGCATAAAGGATTCGGCATGCCTCCCTGCTCTGACAGCCAGCCTTGTGAGTGAGAATTTGCACGGCAGTTGTTCCATGACTTGTGTGCACAGGAATGTGTGTGCATGTGCGAGCAGGAATGCCTTAGGCCCCAAGCCTGCAAAGATTTATGCACATGCTTAACTCTTAGCAGATGAGAAATCCCACTGAGACTATGCATGTGCTACAGGTTAAAGACAGGCATAAAGCTTTGAAGAGTCTAAATCTTAGATTATAAAGATTATAAATTTTAGGAGGACAAGGACAGCTGCTGTCTGTACGGCAGCAGTGCCCTGCAGGCAAGGGGCAGCTTCTGCCTGCAATGGCACCGATCCACCTCCATCCCCGGCACTGCCGCTGGCAGGGCAGCCCCGTGGTTCCCCGAACAGCTGCAGGAGGGGCTGGGCAGCCTGGGGAGCTCCCTGTGGGTGACTTGGGAATTCCAATGCACCAGGCTGAGCAACTCAAGGGAAGGGAACACGATAGGAAACGGTAGGAAATGGATGATTTGCCTGTTCCTTTCAGCGCTGGAGCTCATGCACTCACAAGGTGGCTGTGCAGTGGCCGCAGGCTGTGCTGCTGGGGTCACGCAGCCAGGTCTGCCCCTCGCAGTGTGGGGCAGCGCGTCGGGGCAGCGCACAGCCCAGAGGGTGCTGTGTAGGTGCCCCTGCCGAGGCATTGCTGGATGAGTGCCAGCACACACCAGAGTCAGGCATGTGAGCTGGGCTGCCCCTGGCCGAACCGTGGGCTGCGCGTCCCTCTGCCACCACCGCTGGGACCACCCGCTGCAGCAGGCATGAGCGCTCCCACCCCAGCCCTGCCCGCCAGCCCCACTGCCTGAGGCAGACCATGGGGTGCTGACATGCCAGGGCTGAATGCGAAGCGCGGGGGCATCGGCACGAGCCGTGGCAGCATCTGTGCTGGCTGGAGCCCGCCCCAGGCAGCGGAGCCCTGCCTGCGAGGACACCGTGGCACACAGGCAGCACCAGCCACCCAGGTTTGCTCAGTGTAATATCAAAAGATGGGCAAGAGGAAACTCTTTCCTGGTACTCTGTATTTTTAATTCATATTTTCACAGATCTGCCTGTCCTAAATCCCAAGCAGATGGTGCAACTCAGCCCGTCTCCTCCAGCAAGGATGATCCCTGGGGCCTCCCTGCAGAGAGTGTACATTTCAAAGGATAATTCCAGCAGCACTCCTTACCCTGATCTGGAGGCTTCTGAGCATCTATGTACTTCATCATTCTTCACATATACCTGCCCCTGCCTCGCACCATCTCCCACTGGGGCTTGCTTTTCTCTTCTAAAAGGTAAGCAGAGTTGCAAGCTCTTAGATGCGGACTTAGAAGCAAAGATAGCTATGAAACTCAAGGACCAAAAATAAAAATCAGAAAGGAAAACAAAAAGAGAAAAGAAGGAAAAATCCTATGTGAATTCCCTGATCTCTGCTACAAAAATAGAAGCAGCCTCCCCCTCCCCATTCCACATGCTGGCAGGGATGTCGCTTTCCAGGAGGTAGCCCCAGAGCCAGTGGCAGCAGCAGCAAGGGAAGCCCATTACCCTACAGCACACTCTCTGCACCTTTTTGTGCTCATGAAGGATTTCTGAAACAACAAATCCCACTTGATAATTGTGTTGCGAAAGCCTCACTTTGAATATTTAATAGAATTATTGCTAGTTATCAGCACAACTAGGTGATAAATTACAAGCAGTCTTTACTCAACACAAGGCAGAGCCATTAGGGGGTTTCAATCACATTTCCCACCCTACCCCCTTGTCAGGATGACCATGAATTAAACAGAAAAACAAACAACCTGCCCCCCGCCCAGAGGCTCATTCCTTTAAAAAATAAAGAGATACAGAAACGCTCATCAGCTTTGGCCTGGTCCCAGCTTCCCGTGGACTGTCACAACTACAACTTTCCTCTGTCTTCCTTCATTCCCGCACCACCCCTCCCTGCCGGAGTCCTCTGGTTTTGCCTCCCCACACCCCCTCTGCTGTATATGAATGAGGTGATCTTTTAGCTGCCCTTTGTCTTGGAAAAAAATTAATTCTCATTTGCATTACCTCGACTAAATGTCACCCACCGATATTTTGTTAGACATTAGCAATGCTGGCAGAGAGGGGCACAGGATAATTGCGTTCTGCCTAGCGGTGGGATTTACATAATTTCAGACAGCAATTAAAGAATCCCTGGGAAATTTTTTTTCTCTTCCAACCTCTCCTACAAAGAAAGTGTTCGTTTACATTAAGCGCTCAGCTCCTCGCTGTTCATTTGCATAAAATTAAAGGTTTTTGTGTTCTGGAACAGCAGGGTAACATTTAAAATTCCGTTTCAAAAAGCTCACCTTAGAATAATAAAATGTTAATATCATTTCATGGGCTGGAGAAGGTTGCCAGCTGCCTTTCACTTCAAACTTTTATCCAATACTAACTGTTTGGGTGGGTAATATTATTATTATTTTTTTGTTGTTAAGATATAAACTTTCTTGAAAAAGTGTGGGGATGTAAATGTGCCTATCGATGGGTCTCTGCAGGGCTACTCCAGAGCAGAATGTTTGTTTACTCCATAGTTTTTTAATTAAAAAATCATGCAAAAGAGCAGCAGTGGAATATTATAGGCTGTAATGTGCCGACATACTCCAGACTAAGAGGGGAAATGCAATTTGGATCAAAACTCTTTCATTTGCTTTCATGGACGTGGCAGTGGCACGCCAACAAGCGCCTGCTATGAGACAGCTCCAGCCAGGGCTGTTTGCACAGCCCCAGCCCGTGCTGCAGGCAGGGAGGGCAGCGGTGGAGCTGGGGAGTGGGGTGGGGGCTGCTGTGCCTGGGCAACGCGCTCCTCTGTGAGCCCTCGCTGGGATTTTGGCTCTATGTGGTGGCCGCACTAATAATTCCCTTCTCTGACCCAGAGATGGGTGCTGCTGGGCAGCGGTGATAGGAATCCCTCCCCTGCCCCAGCAGCACCTCGGGAGGACAGGAGGAAGCCGGAGCCCGGGGTTGGCGGCAGCCTGGTGTTGCCAGCGTGGCTGCAATCCCTGGTGCCAGCGGCACAGCCGGAGCTGCAGCCTGGCGGGGGTGTGGGGCTGGGCCATGCAGCTGGGCCACCAGGACCAGAACGTCTGTGCCCGAGCAGCTGTTGGTGTCCCCTGGTTTCTGAAGAGGCAGTGGCAGATGTTGCAGCTCCTCACCCACATCCCCTGCTGCCTCACAGCTCTGTATGAAACTCTCGTGGGTCCGATGTGCTGGCAGCCCTGTCTGACCTTGGGAGCTGGCAGCCACAGGCGGCTCCAGGGACGGCAGCAGCCAGCACTGCAGGACACTTCCCGCACCTCTGTGTGCTGTGTTTCAAGCAGAAACCGAGGATGCTGCATGCTCATGTCCTACGGCAGCAGCAGGCTGGACATGGGGACCTCGTGTGGGGAGCACCCAGCCCCTCACCAACCAGCCCCCACGCCTGGCGGGCAGGCAGGGAAGTCCTGCAGCTGCCAAACAGGAGGACAGCAGCTCAGAGGAGCTCTGTACCACGTCCTGTGTGACTGGGAACAGAGGCCAGAGGCTGCCAGGGCTGAAGCTTCCCCAGCCATCAGCTGCCTTTATTCTGAGCACTCTCAGCACTAAATAATAATAAATGACATTTCCATTTGAAAAAGACCCTGGTGAGGTCTCTCAATGACCTTTTTTTTTATCACCAGGGTCCCTTGTGCCTGCGAGGAGTTGTCAGATGTGCTGCCCGTCCCATGCACAAAGGACAGAGCCCCAGCAAGACACCTTCCTGGGCAGAGGCAGCAGGGAAGGATGGGCTCTGCAGGGCTCTCCCACCACTTCCCCCTGCTGCCAGGTGGGGAATATCCCAGGGGCCGGCCCCTGCCCTCCTGTGCAAGAGGTACGGAGAAGGCAGCTCCATCTTGCACTGTCACACTCGTCTGGCATTGCCACAGAGACCCACGGCCCCTCAGAAAGGTTTCCAGAGCCCAGGTACCCGCGTGGCTCCGTGCTGGGCAGCGGTGCCGGGGGATTCAGCAGTGACCTGGCAGCGAGGCCGCCGATAGGGAGCCGTGCTTCTGGTGCCCCCGTCCCGCTGCCAGGGGCCAAAGGACGTGCCAGAGCACCCAAAGGCGCTGGAGGTGCCCAGCAGGCTGGGAAGCGGTGCCCAGCGGCTGGCCGGGTGCTCGCCTGCCCACCGCACCCTGAGGGCCGGTGGGCCCTGGAGCAGTGCTCCCCTTCCCAGGGACACCAGCCCCGCCTCGGGGGGCTGCGGGGGCTGCACCCAGCCGGCAGGACCGGGTGCGCCCGGTGCCACCCCGCTGAGCCATGTGCTGGAAGGGGCGCCTGGGTGCTGTGTCCTGGTGCACGGCCGCAGGTGAAAGGGCTGGGGGCTGCCAGGGGCCTCTCCTTTATGCGGCGTTTGCAGTCACCAGATGCCGCCCGCCCCATGCACGCCCTGTGCCCCCACCTGCCTCCCCTGCTCAGCCGCGTGCCCGCAGCCACCGCTCCCCAGGCGCAGAGAAAAGGGCTCGTGACTGAGCTGAGGCAGGCGGAGATCTTCCACCTGGCAGTCCTCTGATCTGCCACCATTTGGGGCTGCTGTAGGATTGTTGCAAAAAGTATTTCATTAAAAATGAATCCAAATTCCAGCTGCTGCGTTATCTGACTGGTTCTTAGGTAGGAGAACGTCGAGCACAATCTACATTCCCTGGTGACCATATTTGATTTCTGCTTAAATCTCCAGGCCACTAAAACTCCTACCTACCTGCCAGCAAGTGCCAATTTTTCTTAATGATTTGCAGAGGGAATCTACACCTTCAGAAGTACAATGTATATGAAACCAGGACAGACTCGGAGTTTTAAGCATCCAGCTCACTAATGACTTGTTATAAATGTTTTCCAAACTGCTTTGTGTCTCTGGGAGGTGAGAATTATCACTGTATCTCAGTAAAAATGAATATAAAATAGGAGCAGCATGCTGCACACTTCACATTAAATGCTCACAAATAAACCATTTGCCATTCTGATGTCAGCAAGCGTCTCCATCACACACATCTTATCAGCTGCCAGGACACGGCCGAGTTCTACATGGAGTTTTCTTCGTCCCACTTTTCAGGGTTTTAAGAGTCAGCACAAAACCCGATTGTATTGTGGGTGACCAAAGTACCGAGCAGGCAGTAAAGGAGAGGGTGAAGAATAAAATATTTTACTCGGGACAGAAGCAGACTGACCCCCGTGCTCTGCGAGTGCCCCGAGCAGAGCAGGGCGAGTGGCAGCAGAGCCTGGGAGGCAGCAGGCAGAGGGAAAGGGAAGGGAACCACGCAGCCCCGCATTCCAGCAGCCTGTGCCCCAGGACAGGGGCCCTGCAGCACATTTTGCCAGGGGCAACCCACGCACATGCACCCAGAGCGCCCGTGCATGAGCAGGTGAGACGTGCCATACGCCGGGCTGCGGCATCAAGGTGCCCGTGTGGGCTGTGAGTGAGCTGCGCACTGAGGAAGCAGCTGGGGCTGGTGAGCAGATCAAAACCAAGGGGCTCCCTGCTCGTGGGAGACGTTACAGAACACTTTTGCCTCCTGGATGAAAAGAAAACAAACTTGTTTTTAAATTGGAAATGAAGACGATTGGCCTAGGAATTTGTCTTAGAAAAAATCATGAATTCATTAAAAAATTTTCATTTCAAAATTTGTTTTCATTACTTTTACATTATTTTATGACATCAGTAGTAGCGCATAATGTGACCTGTCATATCATGTCAAGTCATGTCATAATATGCATAATAGTAGTAGAAGTGCATAATATTACATGTCATATTGACATAATCAGAATATTCTATTATTATTGACTTTGTCAAACTAATTACAACACAGACAGGAAATACTTTGCTATAGAAAATAAGATTAAAAGGTGCAACTTTTACAAATTAATAGTTAATTCCATTTGCAATTGTATCATAATGTATTTGTATAAAAACAAATACTTGACTAGTATATTATGCTATGCTATGCACTGCTACATATAATTCCATGGAAATAATGCAATAAGTAAAATTAAAACAATCTAAGAAAAATTTATCTTGAAACTACTTCAGTTGCTTTAAATAAATAAAAAAACTTCAAAACAAAAAATAAGATTTTTTTTTTCTAAACGTGGAAACTAAGAGATCTCAGTACAAAGTAACTCATGTTAAAATAGCCATAGTAGAGGGATAATGTATTGGAAATCATCCCCCCCCTCGCTCCGAAGTACCAGTGAGGGAGGAGCAGCACTGGTGGCATTTCCCCACGGCGTTGCACAGTGGTGTGCCAGCTGTGCGGCCGTGCACGAGCGTGCTCACACCCCTTGGACACACACCACGGACCCACTCCTCGTCAGAGGTTTCCCCCTTTCCACACCCAGGCTCACGCTGTGCCCACTGGGACTTCTAATTGACTTGACATGTTATAAATTGCCTAACTTGGCTGCGATTGCTGTGAAGAATGGTACTTTAAAGGACTCAATATCTGTATATCTCCCTTTGATAAACATTGGCTTGCTGAGCTTAGATCTTATTTATTTACCCTTGGAGCAGGTTCATTACTATGTATTAGGTAGATATGACATATTTATGGAAATATGGGGACTCTTTATGGAATATATTAAGATTAAATAAATCATTTACTATGTGGTCAAGAACTACAGCAATCCTGATGAACGATCCCATGATTTTTTTTGATCTTTGTGTAAATTTAAGAGCCATCGCCCCTTTGTTTTCCTGGATCTGGCAGTACCCTCCCTGAGCCCCATGAACCACGCTCACAGCGGGGCCGTGAGGCATCGCTGCCGCGCACCAGGGTGCTGAGGACCACGCTGCTGGGACAGCCCCTCCGGGTCCCTTTGCTCCCACCCCGCTGCCGGTGCTCGCTGCTGTTGGTGCAGCCCGGGGTAGCCCAGCGAGCCCTCGGGCACCCACCAGCTCACAGGAACCTGCTTAGCACGCTGAGAAATGGTGCCGGTTTCGTTAGCCCGCGTCATCCCACTCAATGTAGTCTGCCTCATGCAGCCATTAGCCAATGAATTTACATATCTAATGGTGCATTTTCACAAATTAGTGGTAATTACATTTAAAACAGCTATTTTGATACAAATCAATGAGAGCCACTGCTAATGACATAAATGCTATTTCACATGTCCCTTGGCCTCATTACAAACATCCAAGCAAATTCACCGAGCACAGACTGCATTAGGATAACAGCACATCGCCTCCAACGAACTCAGAACAAAGCTTTTCTGGTGGGTATGAAACATGGAGCCTTGAACAGAGCGCAGCTACCATGAAGACTCCTTTTCAGCTGTGCTTTGGCCTGTGGCATCTGAGCTCAGCTCGTTTCTCCCAGACGCTTGCTCTCACTTCAGTAGCTTGTGCTTGGTGGCGGTGGCACAAGCTGTGTGACAATGGCAACGCCACACGTGGCAGCGCCAGGCTCCCCGGAGCAGCATGGTACCCCCTGCACCATGCCCACAGCTGCCCCAGCCAGGGGCCGGCTCTCTGGGAGCAGACACACCTCAGCCCCTGCGGGAGCCCTTCAAAAGCCAGAGATAAGATGAGCACAAGGCTCTGACACCACGGTGGGCGAGGCAGTGGCTGCACGGTTGACCTGGGCACACGCAGCCACATCCTGAGCACAGGAGTCCCGGTGCTGAGCTGCTGCTCACTTACATGGGGAAGGGATGGGGCTGCAGCACCCAGCCCGGGAGCAGCTTGCCCTGGAGCGTGGCAGCACGGCGCAGGAGGTGCACCCGACAGTGCACAGATGGATGGACAGGGGCCAGGCAGGGCCAAGAGGCTCCAGGTCCCTCCAGAGAGCAGAGCACACTCTGATGTCTTCTGTTTGGCTTGGGACACTCAACAAAAACCTGTAAATACTTGGGGATTCTTAAGGATAGTTAAGTAGCAAACTATCTGTTGATAATAAAATTTGCGTGCTTCTCACAGATATCCAATTTGCCTACTATCCACAGAAAGGAATTGGGTGTCTGCTTCCTAAATTGTTTTAATCTCTGGCAAAGAGTGCTTCTGGCAGAGTTCCTCAGCTGGAAAATAGGAAATGAGTTAGAAACAGTAGACAAACGTGAATAAGATGGAGCTTAAGATGTTTGATCTTGAGAAGTGAAGTTTCAGTAGATTCCCCAATCACCTGCGTATGACAGCTCCGGGGACAGAAGAGCCTTCCTGGGGAGGGACGGGGCCGCAGAGCACCGTGAGTGCACGGGGCAGGCAGGGTCTCAGCTGCCACCCGGGTGCCCACTGGGGGGTAGGTGGGGACGTGTTCCCCGGGGGCAGGGGACACAGTGTTACTTGGCTGGGGGGAGAACAGCACTGGGACTAAAACAGCTCCATGGGCTGCAGAAGCCAGGGCAGGCTTTAATGGAAGTCTTCGGGTTTTTAAGCATCCCGCTGCTTTCACCCCCCCCAACGTTGGCCGCATGCTCGGCTGCCGGACATCCCAATGGAGCCATCGTGGGGCCAGGAACCCCTGCACCTGCCTGCGTGTCCTTGCTGTCAGACTGCGTCTGTGCTTTTCTCTTTACAAATGTTTTCTTAATATATCTTCAAATATTTTTTCTCAGTAGTATTCCTGAAAGGACTTCAAGAAATCTTAAAATCCTGAGGAAAAAAAAAAAAAAGAAGCACCTTCCGTTTATCTCCTGATAGATAGGCTCTTTCTTTTGTAACGCTGCTAATAACATTCATGTCACTGTGACACTAATTGAACTTTCCTATGCAAAGAGGAAAAAAAAAAAAAAGAAGTTGCCCACCACACAGGAAAGTAATTGCTACAGCAATGTCCTCCCCAGGCTGGAGCTGGTCCTGTGCCCCAGGCTACAGCCCATGCAGGAGGCTGCACAGGCATCCACACACCGTGAAAACACAAGCTCACTGCTGAAAAACTGCTCTGTGCCTTTTCCTGTCACAGGGCAGAGGAATCCTCTGGAGCCAGCATGTAATCTTCAGAATGGATACCATCTTTCTTGTTATTATAATCACCTTCTCCGCGAGGACAGTGCTCTCAGCACATGTGAACGCTGCAAGTGCTGGCCTGAACAATAAAGGAAATGCTCTTTTCCATTGCACTAAGTGAAACAATTCAAACCAGGAAAATCTTGATAAAAGTTTAATTAGGAAAACTGACTCCATCTGTAACATATCCCCATTCTCCCCATGTATTAACCCTTTTGCCATAAATCTGCCACCCTTGAAGAAACCTGCCTTCCTCACAAAACCTACTCAGGGTTCACATTATTTTAATCAGTTAGAGGGGTTTAATACATTATTGATTTTTAGGAGAATTGAAAAAGCTCCCGTATTAAGTCCAGGTTGCTTATTCTTTCTGTATATGACATTCAGGTACTTGTGAAAAATTATACCAATTATGAAATCAGCCATTTACTGCTTCAAAGTGCAATCAGTTGTCACACTGGAAAGCACTTGCTCCTGAATATTATTAGTTGGGCTATGTGCACAGGAAAGTGCTGAGAGGAAAGACTTTAACCAAAGGGCAATTGCATGAAATTTACTTAGAAATAGCTATTTATCACCCTTGGATTTCCTACTGTTCAAATCCACTGCAGACACTTTATGGAATGAAACAGCCATCTCACCAACGTAACTCAGCCAACTGAGGGGGTTTTTTCCTCACTGACATTAAATGAAAAATTTAGAAGTCATTGTAACAGCTTAAAGATGCATTATCCTTTTTGATGTGCAATTTTAGCTTCATATCAAAAGCCATATAAAATAACCCCCGCACAAACACAAAAAAGGAACTTTTAAAAGTTTTATGACATGTAGTTCATCTTACCTTTTATGCATCTAACAGGCACCGTTTCTCCTGCTGTTCTCAGAGACCATTGTATGATTACCACTATGGGGGAGAAAATATTGCCATAGTAGCAGCAAAACCAACTGAAGGAAGGATTAGTCTCTGGAGTCTGGGAAATAGAGGGGGAGAAGCTGAGCACCACAATGCCAGCAAATTCCTCTGAAGCAAGAGAGCTGTGGAATTGCAGGAGAGCTACCCATTAGAGGAGCCTGCAGTTGTGTCACAAACTGCCACCATTAATGGGTTTTGCTGCAGGCAATGAAGTGAGAGGGAACATAAATTAAAGAGGGTACATTCAAGAGAAATTTCTAGCTCAGTAAAGATGTCCTGTCTGCTTGTTTGCAAGAGTGGACAAGAATTTTAGAAGGCAAGGTCAACTTCTTTTTCTCCAAGTAGGAATGGAGGTGGTAAACCTGGGACTGTGGGCACAGCACCATTAACGTGCAGGCCCTTGATTACTGATAAATGTAACTACCGTTCTCATCTCCCCTTGCACAGTTCTTCCTTTCCAAGGATAATAAAATAACTGAATAATTTCCATGGTGGAAGTGTGGTCAGGGGGACAATGGTGAATCTGGACACAGGGCCTGGCTTCACACCACCCTCCATGGAAATACAAATAACCAGAACTCAGCTCCTGACCCACAGTGTGAGCAGAGCGAAGCACCAGCACCTCCGAGCACGGGTGGCTTGTACACAGCAGCAACACCCAAACCAGCCCAAGGCTTTGGGCACTGCAGGATGCTTCCCATCAGCAAGTCTCCACCAGCTCTTCTGGGGAGGACAGAGTGTGTGGATGAGGGAGCTGCTGAGCCTCCCCTAAGCAGCAATCCGATGTCCTGCCAGGAGGTCAGGGACCCGTGCTGGGCACTTGCTGTTTGTGTGAACTGTGCCAGAGGGGCCAGGAACCCACACAGGGTCATACCCGTGGCCTGACCAGGCAGGCACACGCTTCTGCTCGCTGCAGCTTGCACAGGCAAATTCAAATGGAGCTTTCCATGAGCACATTCGCTCCTGGGTGGGAAACACTTCTCATATGTTTTAAAAGCAGTTAACCTTGGCCCCCAAAGCATCCAGTCCTGTTTCCAACAGAGCCTGGGTATAGACCACTTACACTTCAGAAGTGAAACCTCTGATCATGGAGATGGCTTGTGGTTTGTGTTATTTGCCACGGTGAAATCCCATGCTCCAAAAACCAGGCAATTTCAGAATTATTCTTTTCTAGAATTTCAGGATTGAATTAAGGAAATGGAAAAGGGTTGCTGAAGTTAGCTACCTTCCATATTGCCTTCAGCACAGCATGGGTGCCCTAGATGTCTAAGATGCAGCATGTTACAAAAAGCACAGACGATAAAATCTTAACAACTGATATAGACCAAAATCTAATAGCCTGTTTCATAGCACAGAAATAATGAAGAAAAAAATATATATTTTTTTAACTTACCAAAAGGATTGTTATACCATTTAATTTAATAAATAGTAAAGTATTTATAAATGAACTGTTTCACAAAGTGTTACCAATTTCTTTATACACAATAATATGATTTGCACAAGCATTTGTCCTTGAGGCAATAGAAATTTTCTTTGCAAATCAATCCTTACAAGGATTGTAATTAGTATCCGCTAAGGCAGCTAGCAGTACCTGTAGCTGTATTTCTCCCATAAATGCCCTGATTGCTGCAAGCTCTCACACAAAGCTAACGACACAGAAGGAAAATGCACACGTCGTCTAGACTATTCATTTTAATCAGGCAAGAGTGATTTT